ATCACAGAAGAATGTCCTTGTATTTTGATTCAAATTACATTGAATCTATAAATTTCTTTGACTAGCATGTACATTTTGATGTTATTCATTCTTTCAATCATTGATTGTTGTGTAGGCTGGGTGCTAGACCAGCTACTATTTTTGGCAAGGTTCAAAATAATAGTTCACACATGTTGCTTTCAAGGGAAAGCCTGCCTAATAGCTGATGAAGAAACTTCCACTGATTCTACAAATTTCTGTTTCAAGTATGATCTATGATACTTTACTAAATTCAATGTTACATAAATGTTGAAGGGAATTTATGTTAGGTAACTATTAAAAAGCAGGTTAGATATAAAATAACTATATGCCTCTGCACAGCTTGGCTGATTTATAAGGCAATGACATGCATAGACCATTCTGTTTGTGTGAAATGCAGTATGTGTGGAGATATTTTGAGTAATATCCACTGTTTCAATCCTTGCAGAAATGATTTTCTATGAACTGAATACTTGCATAACTAAAAATGGGTATGGTCTTCCACTATTCCCATCTCCACAGTGTATATTCCATATTTGGTAAACTATTTTTGGTGCCTAGATTCACCAGGTATTTTTGTGTCTCCTAAATTGTGTGTGTGTGTGTGTCTGTGTGTGTGTTTTGGCTTGAAAAAAGAATATGCCCCTCTCATCCTTGGCAGGTGGTTTTCACATTGGGTAAGATACCACTTTGAATGCCCACATCCCATATCAAAGGACCTGGATTCAAATCTTAGCTTCATGCTAATTCACACTTTGGGTGGCTAGTGTGAATGGTTCCAATGGTTCAATCCATGCCAACCACAATGGAGACCCAGATTGAGTTCTGGATCCTGGCTTAGACCAGACTCAGGTTTGGCTGTTACATGATTTCAAGGAGTGAACCAGTGGGTAGAAGATTTTTCTCTGTGTCTATCTTTCTGTATTTTGAAACAAACAAGAAAGCAAAGAAATAAAAAGAACCCTTCCCAATCTCTTGGATTCTGATTTCTCATTCTTTAGACTGTAGCACAACTATCATCACAACCAGGAAATCTCTTGTAACTACTTTAACCCCAATCCTTAAGGCAGGGTTAAACACTTTTATTATTCTTACCCCAGGTCCCTTTTAATTTTATTTTTTGCACTTGACACATGTACCTGGAATTTCTTTCAATATGTAATTTTTCTATGTAAACTTACTGATGGGTTTGCTGTTAATTTATTTGTGCCTGCCTAGAACTTTTTACACAATGTGTAGGTGATTGTTCCTCAGGTAATATTTGTTAGAGTAAACTAAGCTGTCATCCAATAAAATATTTTCGGAGTCCTAACTATGAAAAGATTTCTTTGAAAAATGTACTTCATTTTGTGTATCTTGGTCTTAATGGTTGTTGTTGAATACAATCATTCACTGAGGACATGCACCTTGCCTTTGACACTAATTAGATTGACTCAGTTAATAAGATAGCCATAGCATATTTATGATGCGATAGTGAAAATAAGATACTATCCCTATAGAGATATTTCAAATTAATCTTGTATTTTCTTTAGTTTCTTCTTTTTAGATGTGCCAAATAAGGCAATTGAGTATTCCAGTTTTTCTGAATGCATTTTAGGAGCAATTTTGAAGTGTAAAGTGCTGAAATAATACACATTTATCTTTTTTCCTCTTATTTTAGAGCACAAAATGATAATTTATTGTATTGAATTCTTAGGAACAAGCAGTATGGAAATAAATACAAAATAAAGAACATAAAACTTTTTGTAGTAATTTGTTCTTTGGCAAGCAAAGTTTAAATTGTCTTTAAATCTTCAGAGTATATTGTGAAGAACAAACCTCATTATATTAATATTTTATATCAGTATATCTTTTGCAATTGCAAAAATGCATAAAATACATTAGTATTTCTTCAGAACAATATTTTGTTATTTTGGGGTCTTTCTATATCTTTGTAAAGAACTGAGGCTGCACAGACAAATGTGACTTCATTTCTGCTATAATAGATTTACCTCCAGTGGGCTAAGGCATGTAATAGATGATTAGAAGTAACAGCAGTAAATGTTTAAATGGAGATAAGAGAATTTATACTGAAGATTTCCCTAAGAATTTGAGGCAAGGCAAACACTGCCTTTTGAACAATAAAAGAATTAACACAGACACACCTGTTTCAAAGCCTGAATAAATAAGCAACAGTTTAGTGAATGTAGATATCATATTCAAAGCAGAAAAGGCCTATTCTAAGACAAGAAATCAGGCAACAAAAAAGAGAGATCATAGAAGCAAATATAGACCATTTCAACCACAGAGTTATATATGTCAGTGGGAATCACAGCTAAATTATTTTTAACTATTCTAGTTCTATGGCAAAGGTTAATTATATCATAAGAGTTGTGCAAGGTGTTTAAAACCAAAAAACTTTCAAGAATCTACTCCCACATTCAAGACTACATCATTTATAAAAATGAAAACCATTACACATTTTGTTTTTTCAGTTGTTTTTGTTGTTGGTCCAGTCCATGCCAACCAATCAAACGCTAATTATAATGTGGTTTCCCATGAAGATCTGTTACACAACAAAACAGTTGCTGGTTAGGCCAAACAAGTATTCCTATCTTCATGAGCATTACAGCTCTGAATGTGTTTATACATGCTGTTCTAATGTGAACTCATTTAGTATAAATCTACTATTAGAAATGGACATGAACAAAATGATGTAAAGAAATCAATTCCAGGGTGGATGCTGTGCAAATTAAGCTATCACTTAAAATGCCGCTTTCTATGATGTGTCTGCTTTGAGTCCCAGCTGCTCCACTTCTGGTGCATTTCAGAATGATGTACACCCCTGGGAAAAATGATCCAGGTGATGGATCAAGTGCTAAGCCCCTAAAACTCATGTTGGAGACTCAGATGGAGTTCTGGGCTCTTGACTTTGGCCTGGCCCATATTGGCTGCTGCCAGTATTTGGAGAGCGAAAAGGCAGATGGAAGATTTCTCTCTCTCTCTCTTTCCCTCTCTCTATCAAATATCTATTATCTCCAACTCTCTGACTCTCTGTACCACTTTTGCTCTGCCCTTTGTGTAGGTGAAAATAAATAAATAAGCATTTAAAAAATAAATTAATTAATATGCCTGCAAGACTGAAGACTATGACAAATTTGACAATATAGGAGAGAATAAATAGAAATTGAGACAGACTACTCGAGTTAATTTCTGGAGTTAACTGCTTCTTTTTGTAAACTTGAAAGACTAACTTTCATTTTCCTTAATTATGAAAGGGAGGCAGATAATGCGATTTACCTTACAGGATTCTTTTCAACATACTCAGTTATTTTAAGCAGCTAAGGAACAGTGCTTATAGGTTCATGAGTAAACCCAGAGCAGTGTTTTCAGATCTTGTGGTGACTTCTTAAAAAAATTGTAGCGTAAGTCACTCTGTGCCACATTCAAGGAGCAGGAAAACCAATCATGCACTGAAGAAACTGCTATCCCCAGAAATACACCATTATCTCTCCTGTCCATGCATCAGGAAAGAATCAATCCAATATTTAGTTAGAGCATCACATTCTTTCTATTGGATCATTAATGGATTACTCATGCAGCAGAAGGTGTTGGGCTTCTCTCCATTGTAAATTAGGGTCCAAATTCAGATTTTGAGGAATTGTATCTGATTGTAGCACAGAGATGGAGAAAAGATTGCTACAGTACAGGGTTTGTATATTCCGATTAGCTGTTGGAGATAGTACCCTTCCATTCTTTTTTCTAAATTGCTTTATTTTTGTATCTATATATTTGTTCATAAGAATAAAAAAGTAGAAATGGAGATAGAGATAGAGATTGAGATAGACATAGAGATAGAGACAGAGAGAAATAGAGATAGAGAGAGATATATAGAGAGATAGAGATAGAGATGGAGAAAAAGAGAGAGAGAGAGAGAGAGAGAGAGAAAATGCTCACATCTGCTGTTTTACCCTTCAAATGCACAGGGAGTGGGAGCTCAATATGGGTCTGCTACTTGGGTAGTAGAGACTCACCTACCTGATTTATTATCTGCTGCCTCTCAGCAACTGCATCAGTAGGAAACTGGAGCTGGGACGCAAACTCACGAACTCTAATATGGGATGCCAAGTGTCTAAACCACTCAGGCAAACAGCTTCTTCGATTTTCTTTTATTCTTCAAATTTACATAGATTGAATAATCAAAAGGCTTCTCAGTGGTTGCATATAAAATGAATGATTAAAAACACACACATAGGAGTTCAGCGCTGTGGCATAGGAAGTAAAGCTGCTACCTGCAGCACCTGCATCCTATATGGGCACTGGTTCCAGTTCTGGCTGCTCCACTTCTGATCCAGCTCTCTTCTATGGTGGGAAAGCAGTAGTAAACAGCCCAAGTCCTTGGACCCCTGCAACCATGTGGGAGACCCAGAAGAAGCTCCAGGCTCCTGGATTCGGATTGGCCCAGCTCTGGCTGTTATGGCCATTTGGGGAGTGAACCAGCAGATGGAAAATATTCTCTCTCTCGCTCTCACTCTCGCTTGCTCGCTCTCTCTATCTCTGCCTCTGCCTCGGCCTCTCTGTAAATCTGCCTTTCAAATAAATAAACAAATCTTAAAAACATGCACATAAATAAGAGCTCCAGAGTTAGGAGGATAATAAAAAAAAATTGCTGTCATTGGAGACACTAGCAGGAATAGTTAGAATAAAATGAGAAATAACAAACCTGAATTCCTCGAGTTGAGAGTGGAATAATTGACAAAGGAAAATAAATAACATGCAAGAACCACTTTCCCAAAATGTTTGGCAGTGAAACAATAGATATATTCAGTGGTGATAAGTTAAAATCTCAGAATCAGAAAGAAGCATATAAAGGCTATCTGGCTGGTTTGTTTGTGCATATTTTTATGTTTATTTTCTTGTTTGTTTTATTTTGATGGGGAAGAATGCTTATAAAATAAGGACAAAATATTGAAGTATATATAGACAGAATTTTCTCTTTTTAGATTGATACTGCTTTGTTTCTGGATACACATTTGGGTTGATGATGTATTGAGAAGAAAGAACAAAAACTGGAAGGAGGAGACAGACAAAAGGTGAATTTTCATTAAAAAGTAGACTGACAAAAACAAGCGAGTAAATTGAGAAGGGAGGTTGAATAAGTAAATGTTGAAGTTTCAAGAATTGTTTATGTGAAGGGAAAGGAAGCTTAGAATATACAGCAGAAATTCTGAATATTGAAAAGAAATATTAATAAAATGGAAATTAATTGAATTGTGAAATAATATTACTTTTGTCAGATTTTCAAGTATTATGAGTATAGTTTTAAGCTTTTTTAGAAGCATGACATAACGAGATTATTCCAGGGTCGGGAACAGTCTTCTACAAGTTAGAGTAATATGATGATAGGAAAAATATAGAAAGGGAGTGAGATTGAAGTATCTACCCTCTTTCTCACAAAATATCAGTTAGATATGGCCCACAATAAGCACAGGTGAGAGAATGGTGACTCACAATGTTATTAAATGACAAGCCTGGTTTAGAATACAGGTTTTGGGTCCAGTGCTGTGGTGTAGCACGTGAAGCCACCACTTGAGGTGTCAGGATCTCATATGGGCACCAGTTCAAGTCCTGGCTGCTCCATTTCCAATTCAGCTCTCTGCTATGTCCTGGGAAATCAGTGGAAGATGGCCCAAGTGTTTGGGCCCCTGCACCTGCATGGGAGACCTGGAAGAAACTCCTGGTTCCTGGCTTCAGATTGCCACAGCTCCAGCCATTGTAGCCATTTAGGGAGTGAACCAGCAGATGGAGGAACTCTCTCTCTCTCTCTCTCTCTCTCTCTTTCTCTCTCTCTCTTTCTCTCTCTCTTTCTCTCTCTCTCTTTCTCTCTCTCTCTTTCTCTCTCTGTCTCTCTTTCTGTAACTCTGCCTTTCAAATAAATAACCTTTATAAAAAGAATATAGATTTTAAGAAAATAAATTAAAATTGACACTTTCTCATATCAAACCATTTTTCACTGTAAGAGAAAATTTCTGTGGGAATGACAGAACTAAGGCCATTGCTGGACTCAGAAAATTTCTTTTTCTTAAATTTTGAAAACAATAAAATAAAATTTTATATATCTGCCATAATTCCCAAATTTTATTCCAAAATTTAACTTTTCAGAAAGAATGATTGAATGAGAGGAATGACAATGAGCTTGAGTAGAGAAACTCTGGAGCTGTTTGTAATTTTCTTCAAAGCAAAGAGTTCTGAGAATATTCAGAGAATACAGAAATTTTTACTTATTTAAACATTCACATGGTTCTGACTGGGCTATGTTCTCAATTTCAAGCATTAATTTGTTTATTCTTTATATATCTGTATCTGTTTACCATTTCTTTTACAGAAAATAAGATTTGATTCTATTTCAAGCAAAGAAAATGTAATCAAGGGAATTGATTAGAAATGTAGGGAAACTAAATGAGGGTGAGTAAGGTATCGCAATTAGCAACAGTAGAAAGCTGCACTAGTTTTTGAGAGCAGACCAAAAGCAGAGGAAGAGAACTGGCAGAATTCAGACTCTGTGTCACCCAGAAGAAGCTCGAACAATGGAGGGCAGTTCATAGAACCAGTTTCCCTGTGTAGCTGCAGTCTCTGACCAGGAGGATGTGCAACCTAGAAGGACATAATTGTGTTTTCCCAAAGCATGTGTGTCGATGTCCTAACAGAAAGCACAGAATATGAGTTTACCTGGAGATAGAATATTTATAGAGGAGTTGACAGTAAAATAAGATTATATGCTAACTCCTAACCCAGTATGATAAGAGTCTATAAGAAGGGGAGATAAGAGCAAAAACAATACATACACCAAGGGAAAGCTATCTGCAAGATGAAAAGAGACTTCTCAGATAAGACATTTAAACCTTCATCTAGGATTTTTAGCCTCCATTACTGTGAGTAAAGAAACATCCTGTTTAAGCCATCTGGTCTGTGGTATTTTGCTATGTTAGCCTTAGAAGTTTATTATAGAAGCAAGAGATAAACCTTGGGTTCTCCTTTTTTTCCAGTCCAACAGTCCTTTGCCATGGCCCAATTGGAAAATATTTCAGTTGACCTGGACACTGGTAAGTGTGGTTTACAGGATTAGATCCCCAGTGATAGTTATACAGAAACAACATACCATAATCTATTATACTACATTCTTATCCCTGCTTTATTTGAAATTTTCATTTTTTCTGTTCAAGAGAGAGAGGGAGAGAGAGGGAGAGACAGAGAGAGACAGAGAGAATTCCCATGTAGGGTGTCAGATGATAGCAGGAACTAGGACTATGCCATGCCAAAGGCAGAAACAAGGAACTCAGCTCAGGTCTCCCGTGTGGATTGCAGGGGCAAAACTACTTGAGCCATGACTGCTGTCTCCCAGAGTATGCATTAGCAGGGAAGCTGGAATTGAAGTGGACGTTGTGGCATGGAGACGGGACTCCAACCCAGGCACTCACATATCGTATGTGTGCATCACAAGTAATGAATTAACCGCAGTGCCACACAACTGCCCCTCTTGCTTTATTTTAAAGAAATAGGTTTGAGACTCAGATAGATCAACCTACTCATGTAAGATTAGAGCTAGTTTGTGACTCTAAACATCCTGCGTGAGTCAACAGCTCCACTGACTTTCACGGTTAATGAGGTCTAGAGTTGATAAACATCGCTGGGACAATAGAATTCCTTTGCTACCTTTTTAAAATCATTTTCAGTTAAAATTAAACTTGAACTATAACATGGTTACATCAGAAAGTGAGTAAAATATAGAGCATCAAGGTTCTGTGTATGTGGTTTGTATATATCTATGTGTATGTGTTCATTCCAGGATGTGTTTTTGAACTAATTCAACTAAGTAAATTACCAACAACTGCTTTAAAAATATCTATATCACATTTAATGCCATGCCTTGCTTCTAATCTTTTATTTTTAATTGCTATGAAATGAAATATGCATTTGTTTACATTGAAACTATGTTTATGAGAACTTTACAGCAATTGGAAAGATTACTGACATCAGATGTCCTGCGGAGTAGAAATTATGTTGCTTAAATTGTTTCTAAGGAAATTGTGTAATTCCTTTCATTGGCTAACTAGATTAATAGATTATCACTTTTTTTCACATCTGTAGACACATCTGACTGAAATTCAACAGTTTTATTTTTACCAAAATATCTGGGAATTAGGCAGGAAACTAATAAATTAGTAATAATTATGTAAAACAGAACTAGGTTATTACATTTTTCTTTTACATCTGAAGAAGCAGTTTGTGTGGCTTACAAACAGAGCCATGATTTTAATTGTTAAATGTGTCATCTTGGGGCCGGAGCCGTGGCTCATTTGGTTAATCTGCCACCTGCGGCGCCAGCATCCCATATGGGCACCGGGTTCTAGTCCCGGTTGCTCCTCTTCCAGTCCAGCTCTCTGCTGTGACCCGGGAGGGCTGTGGAGGATGGTCCAAGTGCTTGGGTCCCAGCACCCACCTGGGAGACCAGGAGGAAGCACCTGGCTCCTGGCTTCAGATTGGCATAGTTCCGGCCATAGCACCCATTTTGGGGGTGAACCAACGAAAGGAAGACCTTTCTCTCTGTCTCTCTCTCTCTCACATTCTGTAATGCTGCCTGTCAAATAAATTAAAAAAATTTATAAAAAAATGTCATCTTGAATCCACTCTTCCATGATGTCTCATAATTAATCGAGATCTTCTAACTCATGAATGAGTGACAGTGTTATTACAAAATTCCAATAATTTGACATTTATATTTTAAACTATTAATGAGACATCTATAACATACACTAAATTCGGCCAGATCATTAAGTAACTATTCTTACTGTGTGATATGTTGTGCATATCAATGGAAAATTTTTCAGAGTATGTGCCCTAACTAATGTCATCACTGCTTCAGCTAGATCATCACTTTATAAATTGTACTTTTAAAAAAATGAGTGTCCAAAAAGTAAATAATTTTGATTGCTTGGTCAATTTTTTTCTGAAGCAGTTCTCTTCTGCAAGCATATAATTTGTAATATATCTTTAGTGTCCTACTTCCATTTAAAACTTTCAGACTCTGAAGAATTCAGGTAACTCTGTAATAACCTTGAGAGGAAAGCTCAAATGGTCTTTCATGTCTTAGGATCCTGAAGATGTATCACCATTTTAATAGAATATCTTGGTTGTTTTGCATAATTCATGGATCATATAAGACTTTAACAAGGAAAAATGCATAGTTTATATGATGTTTTGCTGGTATTCTGCATATTGATTGTCTATTATATTTTATGTCTTGATTGCAAAATTTTTTCTGAAATAATTCACTTTTAAGTGGGAGAACTATAATACCAAGAGTGACTCAGAAATCTATATGCTAAAGGCTTATCATATTTGCATACTCTGATACTTTTTCATTTCAGATTTCAAAGCAGTCATTCTAGATGCTATATAATTATAAGAGGTTAAAGACGCTCGCTTTTTGACAGAGCTCCATGATCTTAACATCAGTAACACTAGAAAAGCAATGATTTTTTAATCAATCCAGACACAAGCTAGAATATACACATCATTTAAAAGCAAAGTTTTAATAATACTTATTAATTGTTACATCCTCCAAATTAGAGTTACATTACAATGCAAGTAAATGTTAATACAACAAATGACAACATAACAAAATAATTTCTTTGGTGCATCTCCGGCTGTTGCAGCTGGAGTCAACCAGCGGAGGGAAGACCTCTCTTTCTGTCTCTCCCTCTTACTGTCTGTAACTCACCCTCTCAAATAAATAAATAAAATCTTTATAAAAAAATTAAAAAATAATTTCTTCATTTATATTTTATGCAAAGTTTACTTTTAATGCTTTATTTAGAGGGGATGCTAAAACAACAAAGCAACTAATATAAAAATAAGTAAAATAACTTGCGCAACAATTGAGACCTTGAAAGTGAAATTTATATTTTTCATAATATAATATTACTCATTGACTAAGATAAATTTATTTGGGGCTGAAGCAACTACAGTTTCTTGCTCATTTTCCTAGGTTACATTGATACACAATATGTGAAACAGTGTTAAATCTATAATCATCTGTCCTGCTCTAGCTTGCATTTTCTAGTGTGAATATATTTGCTTTTTACTTTTTGAAATTTGATTTCAAAATGAATGTATGTTGAGTTACAGAAAATAGTCAGGTGTTAAATATAGACTTCATATAAGAAGATTCTGAGGGCCGGCACCGCGGCTCAATAGGCTAATCCTCCACCTAGCAGCACCAGCATACCGGGTTCTAGTCCCGGTCGGGGCGCCGGATTCTGTCCCGGTTACCCTCTTCCAGGCCAGCTCTCTGCTATGGCCAGGGAGTGCAGCGGAAGATGGCCCAAGTGCTTGGGCCCTGCACCCCATGGGAGACCAGGAGAAGCACCTGGCTCCTGGCTTCAGATCAGTGTGATGCGCTGGCTGCAGCGCACGAGCCACAGCGGCCATTGGAGGGTGAACCAACGGCAAAGGAAGACCTTTCTCTCTGTCTCTCTCTCTCACTGTCCACTCTGCCTGTTAAAAAAAAAAAAAATTCTGAAAAGATAGATAATAGAACTTTTAAAAAGGTACATGTAATTCAACCTTCATTGAAAATTTATCTAAGTACATTTTACAGGTCAGCCAAGTGAATTGAGTCTGTATAAATGACCAAGTTAATTCATCTTGTGTCCACTACTCAGGAATAAGAAATGATTACTTCATCCATCAAAGAAAAGGCAATCATAAACCTATCCCTATCCCATAATTTGTGCAAGTGGGCAGTAAGAAACTGTCCCTGTGAATACAGTTATTCTTTATCTTGTACAAAGTTGTTTGGTGTTTTTTCTTTGTTTACATATATTGCTAAGTAGATACATCTTGAAATAACATAATTATATGAATATGTGCAAAAAATGAGTAAATATGCAGCCCTAAATACGCTGCTGCCTTACTTTGCCCGTTTTAGCACATAATAAGTGCATATTTTGACCTTAGTACAAATTGTGATATGACAGTGATAATAGAAATATTAGAACTTAACACGGGGCTGGCACTATGGCATGGTAGGCTAAGCCTCCACCCACGGCTGCAGCATTCCATATGGGTGCCAGTTCATGTCTTGGATGCTCATCTTCCATTGCAGCTCACTGCTAATGACCTGGGAAAGCAGTAGAGGTTGGCTCAAACTGTCTGGGCCCCTGCACTGGCATGGGGGACCCAAAGGAAAGTCCTGGCTTCAAACTGGCCCATTGATTTGGGGAGTGAATCAATAGATGGAAGACCTTTCACTCTATCTCACCCTCTCTGTCTGTAGCTCTACCGCTCAAATAAATAAATCTTTAAAAATACATAAATAAAATAAATAAATAAAAAAGAACTTAACATGCCATGGTAAAACTACAAGCAATACCATTTTCAAAATAACTCTTTAAATTTTATATAAATAAACACATCCACAGTATTGGAAAAATTATTACTAAATCAATGAAACAGAATCTGTACTTCATTTGATGTACATTTGCTTTAAAGTAGTGATTTTAATCCAAAAATTAATATCTCTCTGGTTTTCCAAGTGGAAAAGTGTTACTGTCATCTGGTGGTTAGTGGCCTAGGATGCAGATCAACATCCTACAATGAACAGGGAATGCTTCAGCATACAAAGTTAATAATGCAGAGATTAGGAAGCTCTGTTTAAAAGAATCTGAATGTACATACTGCCCACCCTTTCAGAAAAGGGAGTCACTATGTGAAATAGGAAAACCTCTTCCCTTGAAAACTGTGTCCATTGTGCCTAGATGTTTATGTAATCTCGAAGTCAAACTGTATCTCTATTAAATCTCTTTGGTCTGTGCTAAGAAAACAACAACTGAATGGCTCATTCAACCTTTTGATTAGGTGTTCATAAAATTGATTCATTGTAAATTGACGTTCTATCACTAACGAAGTATCAAGACTTAATTCTTGACAAGAGATTCTGCACTTGGATCAATGTGATGTTGTTGATATCTTGAAAATATTTCTGATTTTGGACAAGGAGTCCCGTATTTTTGTCATCTTCCTGTCCCTGAGTAAAGAGCCT